TTAATCGAGTTTTTGACAAATTTGGATCGTTTCTCGGCGTTAGGCTGAGATTCGATCACTGCTACGACTAGCTTGGAATAGCTCTAGGCCGGTCCTTCTAGGAGAAGCCATGACCAGCTTTGACTAAGCTCTGACCAGCTTGGACATGCTATGACCAGTTTTGGACCAGTGGCCATTGAGTGGAAACACTCGGTCTCCCACGTTAAACCGACCTTGTGTCACATCCGGATTCCGTGGGAGTCTGGTAAATACCTCTAGCTCGACAAATTTTGTCGAGTTTTTGACAAATTTGGATCGGTTCTCGTCCTTTGGCTGAGATTCAATCACGGCTACGACTAGCTTCGACTGGCTCCAGCCTGGACCTGCTAGGACAAGCCATAAACAGCTTTGATTAAACTCTGACCAGCATGGACATGCTATGAACAGTTTTGGACCAGTGGCCCTTGAGTGGAAACACTCTGGTCTCCCCCATTAAACCGACCTTGTGTCGCATCCTGACCCCGTGTGAGTCAAGTAGATACCACTAGCTCGACAAATTTTGTCGAGTTTTTGACAAATTTGGATCGTTTCTCGGCCTTTGGCTGAGATTCGATCACGGCTAGGACTAGCTTGGATTGGCTCGGGTCTGGACCTGCTAGGACAAGCCATAACCAGCTTTGACTAAGCTCTGACCAGCTTGGACATGCTATGAACAGTTTTGGACCAGTGGCACTTAAGTGGAAACACTCTGGACTCCCCCATTAAACCGACCTTGTGTCACATTCTGACCCCGTTGGAGTCAAGTAAATAACTAGCTCGACAAATTTCATCGAGTTTTTGACAAATTTGGATCGTTTCTCGGCCTTTGGCGGAGATTCGATCACGGCTACAACTAGGTTGGATTGGCTCGGGTCTGGACCTGCTCGGACAAGCCATAACCAACTTTGATTAAACTCTGACCAGCTTGAACATGCTATGACCAGTTTTGAACCAGTGCACCTTGAGTGGAAACACTCGGGTCTCCCACGTTAAACCGAACTTGTGTCACATCCTGATTCCGTGGGAGTCTGGTAAATACCTCTAGCTCGACAAATTTTATCGAGTTTTTAACAAATTTGGATCGTTTCTCGGCGTTAGGCTGAGATTCGATCACGGCTACGACTAGCTTGGATTGGCTCGGGTCTGGACCTGCTAGGACAAGCCATAAACAGCTTTGATTAAACTCTGACCAGCTTGAACATGCTATGAACAGTTTTGGACCAGTGGCCCTTAAGTGGAAACACAATTCGGGTCTCCCCATTAAACCGACCTTTGTGTCACATCCTGACCCCGTGGGAGTCAAGAAAATAACTCTAGCTCGACAAATTTCGTCGAGTTTTTGACAAATTTGGATCGTTTCTCGGCCTTTGACTGAGATTCGATCACGGCTAGGACTAGCTTGGATTGGCTCCCGCCTGGACCTGCTAGAACAAGCCATAAGCTGCTTTGATAAAGCTCTGACCAGCTTGGACATGCTATGACCAGTTTGGGACCAGTGGCTTTTGAGTGGGAAGACTCGGGTCTCCCACGTTAAAACGACCTTGTGTCACATCCTGACCCCGTGGGAGTCAAGTTCATACCACTAGCTGGAAAAATTTCGTCGAGTTTTTGACAAATTTGGATCGGTTCTCGTCCTTTGGCTGAGATTCGATCACGGCTACGACTAGCTTGGACTGGCTCCGGCTTGGACCTGCTAGGACAAGCCATAAACAGCTTTGATTTTGCTCTGACCAGCTTGGACATGCTATGACCAGTTTTGGACCAGTGGCCATTGAGTGGAAACACTCGGGTCTCCCACGTTAAACCGACATTGTGTCACATCCTGATTCCGTGGCAGTCTGGTAAATACCTCTAGCTCGAAAATTTTGTCGAGTTTTTGACAAATTTGGATCGTTTCTCGGCCTTTGGCTGAGATTCGATCACGGCTAAGACTAGCTTGGATTGGCTTCGGCCTGAACCTACTAGGACAAGCCATAACCAGCTTTGATTAAACTCTGACCAGCTTTGACATGCTATGACCAGTTTGGGACAGTTGATTTACCCATAGCAAGAAGATTGATGCAAGATGATAATGACGAGGAAAGAAACAGGTAATTTTAACAAAACAAAACAAGGAATTTATTCACGAATTTACACGTTTGAACTAGTGTCCGTAGCTCGTTTCAGAAAGATAAATTAGAATTCTTAATGTTCGTAGTTATAACGTATTGTCATGAAGACGTAATGTTCGTACAACAGATTAAATGATCTGATACAGAATAATACTAAAAAATGTTTAAGACAAAGGTAAGAGAGTTCATTTCCCACCCAAGGAATTGTAGGATTCAAATCCTATATTGTTCTTAAAACCTGCACAACTAAATACAATATAGGATCCAAATCAAATTTAACAACTGGTGTTGTGGAATAATCCACGTTACCTATACACCCCTTTGCAGAACAATCCATTCTTACACCCATACACCTATTATCCAATCAAAACACTAGATCTGACAAACTCAATTTCTCATTGGCTAACAGCCTTAAGAAAAACTAAGTATGCACGTAAAAAATGCCTTTGGCGCTCAAATGTGTTTGAGCCTATTTTTCCTTTCCAGAACCTATAAAAGAAAGAAATTGGAACCAACTTACCAGTCAGAATTCCACACTCAGAGAGATGCCAACCAATTGCACGCCAGTTTAAACTTTGACTTTCCCGCGCGAATTAACCTCTGACTCAACAACCTTTTGGCATGCGCAGTCTCTCTTTTAAACAAACTTCTCAACAATTCATTTACTTTACTTGAGAAAGTGAAATATATATTCACTACATATTAGTAACAGTAACAAACAAAACTTCTAACAACAATTCAAGGTACGCAACTTCGTACAACTTAAGAATATTTTACATAACACTCGTATACACACACTAACATTTGAACTGTAAAATTGAACACTTTTGTACGTTGAACAGCAAACTGTTTAATTATTACAACAAATCATCAAAACATTGATTTAAGCATTCAAATATACTCAACAACAAACTACATGTCTTATTACATCAATATACAACAAACCACCAATTCATAACTCATTTGTATATATTTAAATTGTATATAAATTACCATATTGTTGTGTATTTTACTTGTTTTTGTTTTTGACTCTGCTTTCCATGACCTGTCCTAAATATTCGTTTATTATTTGTTGTGGATGAATGTTAACGAACACGCCACCTAAAAAGTCCTTCTGATTTAACCAAATACATTCACTAATCCCCAACAGTGTATTCTGATTGGTCCAGAAATACCAATGTCACGTTTCCGCCTACGTCCGCACGGTTGACTTGTTCAAAATACAACGCGCCAAAACAATGTAAACGTGTTCTCGAGCCAACCACGTGGTTCACATTACTTATAAATACTTGACGACATTTTCTCTCTTTTCTATTCTCACTTACAAGCAATGTAAAGGTCCGTGGAAAATTTACGTTTTTCCCTTTGGGGAAAATGCTATAACACACACACACACACACACACACACACACACACACACACACGAATATTCACACCCGATAACAAAAAACACGACGGCAGTTTTTGCACAGTTGCAGAATCACAAAAGTTTCGACGAAAAGCAAATAAGTAACGGAAATCCAATCTTAAACTATTGCCTTATCACAACTACAGTCTATATTTCTTCATCTCATTACAACCACAAGACTCACACCAGCACACGTTTTTTACACAATTTTCAAACTGTTTAATTCTCTTACAAGTAACACGACATCTTACTAAAATTCTCCAAACTCAAACACTTTTTAATACACTTCACAGTCTATCAACAAGAACATTTTCCTCACGGAAAATTACAAGGACAAGTAAATTTCAGCATTTCAAACTATAGGATACAAATCCTATATCATTCCAACAAATAACTAAAAAACACAAAGTAGATTTGCACACCCGCTAAATCGGATCAAAACGACTAAAACAGATTTCGCAATAAGGTGTGAAATTAATTTTCTGACCAATGAAAGGAGACGATTTGCTAAACAAAAAAAAAAAAAAGATAACGATCCAATGTGAAAAAAAGTCAACTATATAGAGAGTTTCAAGTCAATCACGAGTGAGAAGGGCGCAAAGATCATAGAGGACAGTCAGGTTCGTCACTGACTCAACCAGACACTAAGAGCAGAAAGTGGGGTAGGAGAGGAAAATAACAACAACAACAAATTTGCAACTGACTCCAAAACAATTCAACCCGATAAGTACATTTTCCTCTTATCTTTTATTTCTCATTCACACTCTCTTTTTCAACTTAAATTGATCGCCCCTTTTTCCTTTATACCTACTCGGCGGATATACAAAAACAAAAGAAACAGACATTACTCTACTACTCTGTTGAAAGACAGCTAACACAGACATTTTGTTCAAATCACATTTGCTTAAACGAACTAAAGCATTAATTTTTTTTACCCTATTCACAAGATATAAAATATACAAATTTGTTTATTCTGCATGAATGACATTACATATACAATGTTCTATTTTCTACAAATGTTCCTTATCGTGTTGTTTTTTTCTTGAAATTTGTGTTCTATTTTCTGGGCAGGGTATCCCATATTAAATTCTCCTTTTAATCCGGGTACGCTGTACCCCAAAAGTGTTGACCAATCGATGTGAAATGAACTCGCAAATTTCCAACTGAAAGAAAAGCTTCAACAAAATAAGCAACACATTTTTTTTAACATATAACCATAATCATCAAGACATATAGAACATGGATACACACACTACGTAACCTATGGAAGCCGCTATAACAATTAACTTACCAACTTACAACCCAACTAACGTACAAATTTGGTTTTCACAGTTAAATGCAGTTTTCAATGCAAAGAAAATTACATCGCAAAGTTCAAAATACGCCTACGTTGTCGAAAAACCTCCCGCAGATGTAGCATCTGAGGTAGTGGATCTACTTAATGACATGCCGGAAGAAAAACCTTATAACACGTTGAAAGCTGCAATTATTAGACGTGTCGGTAAATCGGAAGAAAGAAGGTTACACGACTTATTCAATAATGTGAACCAGGGATGTATGAAACCTTCACAGCTTTTAAGAAAAATGCGATCCTTATTAGGAGACAACACCATGTCCGAAGTGGTGTTAAAGAAACTGTGGATGGATAAACTACAAACACATACAACACAGATACTCGCATCACTCCCCGATGATTTACAGCTGGAGAAAATAGCAGAAATAGCAGACAAAATACATGACAACAACCAAGACAAAAAGGTATACGCCACATCACATGCACCAACAGTTACAGCAACATTACCAGAGAAGTCATCTGAATTGTCGCAGCTGTATAAGCAAATGGCGAAACTCAGCTTACGTACAGAGTCTGATACAAGCACAGAAATCTCAGCGTTCTCGTCCAACATTCAGAAATAGATCCTACTCACCACACAGACGTCGAAGTAGGGCGAACTCTTTCCCCAGAGAGCAAATTACACACGATACCTGTTGGTATCATTATAAATTTGGAAGAAATGCAAGGAAGTGCACAGAATCATGCAATTTCAATTCGAAAACTTCTCACATTTCTACACAACACCAGGGAAACGACTATGCCAGCAGCAAGTAAAGACGGCATTAGCTGCTGGATTAAAACAAGAGAGTCGTATTTTTTACATCCGGGATAGAGGTAACGGATATTTATTTTTAGTCGACACCGGCGCTCAGATCAGTGTTATCCCACCAAATACAAAACAAAAACCTACATTCTCCACATACACATTGCAGGCAGCAAATGGATCACAGATAGAAACATACGGTGAGATATCACTAACGCTCGATTTGGGTCTAAGAAGATCTTTTCCATGGATTTTCACACAAGCAAATGTGAAAACACCTATCCTAGGAGCGGATTTCTTATCCCATTTCGATTTATCAGTGAATATGGCTACACACTCTCTCACTGACAGTAACACAAACCTAAGAACAAAGGGAATCACCTCAATCTACAAGTCAACAGGAATTAGTTCAGCAATACCAACGGCTAATGGCCTACATGAATTGATAAAAAAATTCCTACACTAACCACGCCTTTAACACATACAGATGAAATCCGTCACACTGCTAAACATTATATCACCACAGCTGGACCACCTACACACGCATCACCACGCAGATTACATCCGGACAAATATAAAATAGTAAAAGACGAATTTCAACATATGTTTCAGTTAGGCATCATACGTCCTTCAAATAGCCCATGCTCCTCTCCGCTACATATGGTTCCGAAACCAGAAGCTGGCGCATAGCGACCTTGTGGGGATTTTAGGAATCTCAATGCAAAAACTGTTCCTGATAGATATCCTATACCGCTCTTACATGATTTCGCCATAGGTTTGCAAGGAACCACAGTTTTTACAAAATTGGATTTGGTTAAGGCGTACTACCAAATTCCAGTAGCAGAAGAAGACATGAGGAAAACTGCAATTACCACTCCTTTTGGATTCTATGAATTCACCAGGATGCCATTTGGGTTACGTAATGCCGCCCAAACCTTTCAAAGACTCATTGATGAAGTTCTGAGAGTATTGCCTTTTACCTTTCCATATATCGATGACGTGCTTATCGCCAGTCGTGATGGAAAAGAACACCTATCCTATATTCAACAAGTCTTCGAGAGACTGGCACATTTTGGCTAAAAGATAAATGTCCACAAATGCGATTTTGCTGTTTCAAAGTTAAATTTCTTGGGCCATGTGATCGACAAAAACGGAATCACACCTGTCCCAGAAAAAGTAGCAACAATACAAAACTTTCCGCAGCTGACATCACTGCGTCAATTAAGACGATTTCTCGGTTTAATAAATTACTACCGTAGATTTATTCCAGTTTGTTCCATAATTTTGACCCCACTCACAAACTTGCTGCAAAAACAGAAGAAAAATGCAAAAATACTGATCGACGGAGAAGCGTTAGCTGCATTTCAAAATGCTAAAAAAGCGTTAGCAGATTTTAACAAGCTCTCTTACATCAGTGACGATGCTAACTCAACACTTATATTGACAACTGACGCCTCAGGAGATTCAGTTGGGGCAGTTCTACATCAGAAGCTAAATGGTTCAGAAAAGCCAATCTCCTTTTTCTCGGTCAAATTAAACAAAGCACAGCAGAAGTACAGTACCTTCTCGAGAGAGTTACTAGCTATTTACTTAGCAATAAGGCATTTTCGACATCTGCTCGAGGGACGAAACTTTACTATTTTCACAGACCACAAACCCCTCACGCTTTACATGTGAACACAGATAAATACACAGCCAGAGATACCCGACAACTGGACTACATATCCCAATTTACATCTGATATCCGCTATATTAAAGGTTCAGACAATATCGTGGCAGATACACTCTCGCGCTCCACGATACAATCTATCGATTCTGAAACCCTTACCTTCGACCTCATTGCAGATGAACTAAAGGAAGATACCACATTATACAAAATAAAAGAGGACACTTCTTTACAATTGAAGGAACACCCCGTCCCATTTGGAACAAAAACATTACTCTGTGACGTTGGGACTGGTTATTCAAGACCATATATTCCACCTTCATTGAGAAAAAAGATATTTCTGCATTTTCAATCTCTCACATCCCGGACACCGAGCAAGTTGATTAGTTTTGTCTGGCCAAACATGCATACTGACATAAAAAGCTGGACTTAAACTTGTTTAAAGTGCCAAAAAAGCAAAGTAAACAGACATACTAAGTCCCCTCCTGGGCATTTTCTAAAACCAGATGGTAGATTCATGAATCTTCACATTGACATAGTGGGTCCCTTACCAGAAGCAAACGGACATAGTTACCTACTCACTATTATCGACCGATTCACAAGATGGCCTGTTGTTGTTCCTCTAAGGGATATATCTGCAGAAACGATCTCTAAAAGTATATTACATGAGTGGATTGCCGTTTTTGGTTGTCCCTCAGTAATAACTACAGACCGAGGTTCTCAGTTCCAATCTACGCTCTTTGATGAGTTCACAAAACTATTGGGAGTTAAGCATATAACAACAACGGCTTATCACCCATGTGCCAATGGCTTAATTGGACGTTTCCACAGGCAACTTAAGACAGCATTAACAGCAAATAATGATTACAAGACGTGGTTAGAAAATCTACCGCTAATATTACTATCCATCCGGAACGTAATCAAAGAAGATTTAGGATGTACAGCATCTGAAATGGTTTTTGGAACGTCCTTGATGTTACCAGGACAGTTTTGTGATAAATCCAGTCAACTCCAACCAACTACATCTTTTGTACAAAGATTTAAGCAAAGAATGAATGAACTAGTTTTCACACCCACTAGAACACAAACAAAAGACCTTTACACTCCAAAAGACCTCCACAATTGTGAATATGTTTTCGTACGAAACGACACAGTAAAAAGGCCACTTTGCCCTACTTATACGGGACCTTTCCAAGTAGTCAACAAAAAACCCAAATTTTTCACAATTGCAGCAAAAGGCAAGCAAGACACTGTCTCTATAGACAGACTAAAACCAGCGTACTTGGATTTACCTACGTCGGAACTTTCTACAGCCGCGTCAAATACCAACGTAAGTGAAACATTTTCTACACCTCCAAACACACCTAAAAACATTACCAAAAGATAGACACGTACACTGGCCTACTCATTTTAAAACATATATCTGATATTGAGAAATATTTTCAATATTTATCAATCTGCAGGGGGGGGGGTTATAGTATACAAATCCTATATCATTCCAACAAATAACTAAAAAACACAATGTAGATTTGCACACCCGCAAAATCGGATCAAAACGACTAAAAACAGATTTCGCAGTAAGGTGTGAAATTAATTTTCTGACCAATGAAAGGAGACGATTTGCTAAACAAAAAAAAAAAAGATAACGATCCAATGTGAAAAAAAGTCAACTATATAGAGAGTTTCAAGTCAATCACGAGTGAGAAGGGCGCAAAGATCATAGAGGACAGTCAGGTTCGTCACTGACTCAACCAGACACTAAGAGCAGAAAGTGGGGTAGGAAAGGAAAATAACAACAACAACAAATTTACAACTGACTCCAAAACAATTCAACCCGATAAGTACATTTTCCTCTTATCTTTTATTTCTCATTCACACTCTCTTTTTCAACTTAAATTGATCGCCCCTTTTTCCTTTATACCTACTCGACGGATATACAAAAACAAAAGAAACAGACATTACTCTACTACTCTGTTGAAAGACAGCGAACACAGACATTTTGTTCAAATCACATTTGCTTAAACGAACTAAAGCATTAATTTTTTTTACCCTATTCACAAGATATAAAATATACAAATTTGTTTATTCTGCATGAATGACATTATATATACAATGTTCTATTTTCTACAAATGTTCCTTATCGTGTTGTTTTTTTCTTGACATTTGCGTTGTATTTTGTGGGCAGGGTATCCCGTATTAAATTCTCCTTTTAATCCGGGTACGCTGTACCCCACAAAACACAACTGAATTACTGTTTTTGTACAATTGTTGTTTGTTGTGTTCGTAAATGAAGAACGAATCAAAACATTTGTGTTTAGATTAATTAATATCAAAATGGCGAGTGTCTTCTTTATTCAAATCCCGTTCAAAACGGAATCACTCCGTCCAGATTAGATAGATAGATAGATAGATAGATAGATACCATAACATTTCCCCTTCTTAGGTTATGAGTGTAGTCTTGTGGGTGGTCTCGATACTCGTCCAGACCTGTTTGTTACGGGGGACTGGTTGGTTGATGAGTATTTTCTTCAGTTTCGTCCATTGAGGGTTGGATGTCTTCTAGGTTTTCTGCTTTTATTTCCCTGCTCAGAGGGGCTTGTGGTATAATGTGTCGGTGGTTGCGTCGGATATATCTCCTGCCGTCGTCTGTTTCCACGATGTAGGATCGTGGAGTGAAGGTGTTTCCAACTATCATCCCTTCCTCGCTAAGAGTGTCTTGGCTTCTAATCCACACTCTGGTTCCAGATTCAAGTGATCTCAGTTCTCCTTGTTTCTGATTGTATGTATGCTGTTGTTGGGCCTTCTTGTGTTCATCCCTATTCCGAATGAGTTTGAAGTTAGGCCATTTGGGCGCCATTAGCTTCGGATGGATTGGGATATTGGTTCTTAATCTCCCCCCACCCCATCAGCAGTTCGCTGGGGAAGTACCCACAGTCCATTGGGGTAGTTACATGGGGTAGCATAAACATATATGAGTCGCTTGCTTTCCTCAGTATGTTCTTTATAATTTTTACTGCTGCTTCCGCTACTCCGTTGCTTTGAGAAAATCTAGGGCTATTTGTGATGTATTGAATCAAATCAGCAAATTCTTTAGTCATGTATTGGCTTCCTGGATCTATTATCAGGGTCACTGGTATTTCATGTCTGGCGAATATTTGTTTTAGGTTTTCTATTACCTCTTTTGAGGTAACTGAACTTAGTTGGGCGAACTCTATATACTTAGAGAAGTAGTCGACCACCACCAAGTATGTCTGGTTATTTCAGGATGTACCCGGGTCTGGGTGGGAGTTTAGTTGCCATTAACGATTCGGTTGGTTGGTGTCTCAGCCTGGCACATGTTTCACAATTCTCTACCTTGTTTTTTATTTGGTCGGACAACCCTGGCCACCAGATTGATTGACGGGCTCGTTGTCAGCATCTTGTAATGCCTTGGTGACCTGAGTGGATTTTGTCATCGACTGGAGAACTATGATCCGTGTCCCATACATTAGTAAGCCTTCCTCCCAGGTAATTTCTCCTCGATGGTCCCAATATAGCTTGATGCGCATTGGAACTTTGTTTTTTGTAGACCATCCCTTTTTGACATAGTTCCTAATGCGTGTGCTTGCGTCATTATTGCTAGTTGCTTTCTTTAATTCTGCCAACATTCTATAAGTTGCAGGTAGTTCATGATGGCTTGGACGAACTTTGTTGAACTTTCCTCTAGTTCTTTTTCTTGATTGGTCGGCATGTTACTCGGCGTGGCTCTTCATAGGGCATCGGCAGTGTAATGGTTTTTGCCGGAAACGTAGATTTTGAAGCTGAACCTCATGACCCGGTTCGAAATCTCTGTATTCTAGCTGGTAATTCGTTTATTTCGTTGCCTAGAAGGTGTACGAGTGGTTTATGATCCGTCTCGATTGTAAATTTTAACCCAATTAGGTAATCAGAGAACCATTCACATCCCCAGGTTGTAGCAAGAACTTCCTTCTCGATCTGAGTATATCGGGTTTCATTTTCCGACATGGCTCTTGATGCATAGGCTACTGGATGCAGTTTCCCGTCTTCCTGTTGCTGTAAAATCACTGTTCCAAGGCCATGGGATGAGGCATCAGTGGATAACATGGTCCTTTTTCTTGGGCTATATAGTGACAGGATTGGCGCTGAACATAAAATTTCTTTTATAGAATTGAAGGTTCTTTTCTGTTCTGTTTGCCACACAAAAGCATTTTTCTGGCTCACTAAGTCCTGTAAGGGTTTTGTGATCTCTGCTAGGTTTGGTATGAACTTCCTCAATTGATTTACCATTCCTAAAATCCTGCGTGTCTCTGTTATGTTGTTTGGTGCTGGAAAGTTTTAAACTCCTGAAACCCCGTCTTGACCATCAATGCTGAGTGAATGTCCTAAGAATTTTAACGAGGTCCTGGATATCTCACATTTTGGGGGATTTAGGGTTATTCCTACTGCTTGTATTCTCTTTAGTGTGGCTTTTAACCGTTTGTCATGCTCACTATGATTCCTCCCTTATGCCAGTATGTCATCTTGCATATATATTACCCCTTCTTGGTTTTCTAATATTACCGACATCCATTTCTGGTATACCTCACTGGCTGATGTGATCCCAAACGATAGACGGTTAAATTAGAATCTGCCAAACGGAGTAATGAAGGTCGTTAATTGTCGGGATTCACGTGATAAAGGGAATTGCCAGTATATGCATTTAGTTTTGTCATGTCAACGCATATACTGACCTTTCCATTGTCCTTTGGTACCACTACCATGGGTGAGCACCATTCTGTGAGCTCTTCTACCCTGCTTATCACCCTTATCTTTTCCATCCTCATGAGTTCTTTCTGTGTTTCCTTCATTAATGGTAGGGGTAAACGACGTGGCATTGGGATGGAATAGAGTTTATCATCTTCACGTAGGGGTATGGTGTAGTCTTTTCCAAATAAGCTAAGGTCCTGAAATAAACCTTTCATCGGATCAAACGTTTGTGGTTGGTATTTCTGATAGTATGCACTGCAGAGTTTATCGCCACTACTTTTAGTGCCTCGATGTCTGATCTTCCTAATAGTGGCTCTTCCAGGTTAGGAATGACATAAATGTATTGTATTGTTTGTCGTCCTTTATTTCCTTGTATGGTTACCTTTAGTTTTCCTATCACTTTTAGGGGGTTATGGCGTGGACCATGTAAGGTTTCTGTTGCTGCTGCTAATGCCGGTAACTTCATTTTTCTATAGGTATGTTCTGGTATAACAGTGACATCAGCCCGTTGTCTATTTTAAATTTCACTGGCTTATTATTTATTGCTGTTCAATCCTCCATGGTTTGTTCTACTTAATCTCGGTCACTGTCAGTAGCCCTAGGGTGGTGTTGTCATCGCTGCTGTATGGGTAGTCTTCGTTATATTGTACCTCGCGGACCTTCTTTGACTTGCAAAACTGTGCGTAATGGCTGATTGCTTTACAGTAGTGGCATGTTGCTAAGATGGCGGGGCACCTACGTCTCGAATGGTTCACTCTGTTACCACAACGGTGGCACCCCGTTTCTGGCTGCGGCCGTTGACTGTGCCCTAGAGCTATTGTTCTCGTAATTTTTTAGGGGATTTTCTTTTTTTTGTATGTTTTTTTACGGTAACGACTGTCGACCATATGAACGGCCGCATCCTCATCTAGTTGCTCGACTTTATTTTTTTAAAAACGGCCGTAATATCTTTTGTTGAGACTTCATAATTTCGTTCTGGCGCAAACCCTTTTGACTACGCCTTCTAAAGTGAGATCTGGTATCATTATAAGTGTCTCGTATAATTTGACGTTTTTACATCCCACTTCTACCCTGTCGCGTATAAACTCCCCTTCAAGCCCCTTAAAATCGCATGTTTTTGCTAACACGTGTAGGTCAGTTACAAAAGCGTCTATGGATTCACCTTCTTGTTGGTGGCGTTTGTTGAACATCGCTCGTTCATAAATTACGTTTGTACTGGCCGTGAAGTGGTGGTCAAATCTCTGTTTGGCCATGTCGAAGTTTTCCGAGTCCTCTAGCAATAAAGGTAGCTGGTATATCCTCAGTTTTATCGCCCATGGTGTATGTAAGTGTGTCCACTTGGACTCTTTCGGGCTTTTCTTCGAGGCCCGATACGGTTTCGTAGCGAGTTAATCTTCTTATCCATTTTGACCACTGTCCGGGCTGGTCAAATAGGAACGGCTTTGGCGTCGACACGTTGCTGTTCATTTTGTTTATTTTCCGGTTCTGACTAGGATATTTTATTCGTCCGACGTCTAAGTGTATCCGTTCCCTAGTGTTCCGTTAATCTACTTTTAGTTTCATGACAATCCCACTTCTGACACAATGTTGTGTTCGTAAATGAAGAACGAATCAAAACATGTGTGTTTAGATTAATTAATATCAAAATGGCGAGTGTCTTCTTTATTCAGATTCCGTTCAAAGGGAATCGCTCCGTCCAGATTAGATAGAGAAATAGATACTATAACATTGTTGTGCATATATAAATTCCATCTACTTATGTAACTTCTCTTGTTGGATGTTCTTGTTTCATATTTTGTGGTTATTTGCGTAATATAAATTAGTTAAGGCAAGCCGGTGACCCCCTACAGAATATATGGTTTGCATAGGTTGAAAAGTAGACGAAGAGAGATAGTTTGAAATACTTAGCTTTCTTAGATTGTTGAGTTAGAGGCCGATAATATAATTGGCGGGCAATTTTACACTGGCGAGAACTTCAACGCAGGTCGATAGGAACTGAAACGAAACCTCTCAGATGACTTCAGACACTTTTCTCTGATTAATTTTTCTCTTCATTTCATATAAAAAGAATAGGCTCGCTACTTTCTTTTTTTATTCTCGGCTGACCGGCTAATTACCTCCAACCATTTCTATCCCGTACATCTAACTCACCCTCAACTTGTAGCGGTTGTTTACATACACCACGCCCACAAAATACTCAATAGCCATTGGATAGAAAATAAGCACTATTTTCTATAGGACAATTTATGCAATGAGCCACATCAAATTTTTTGATGTTTACTTTGCCAAACCTGGTTTAGAAAGAATCAGTGATTGGTTGATTTTTGACCAATAATATAATATAACACTCCTTTCAATATTTTTCGCGCTCTCGTTCCTGGAACCTATTCAGAAAGTATAAATAACACGAAAAATCAAAGAAAAGAACAGTAGTAGAACAGTAAATCTCCAGAGCTCAACCACGTACGTGAATTCTCATTCTTCTACTCACACACACAGACACAAAATTACAATTGCACTACGCTGTGAACTGTCTGTCCAAAAAGCCAAGTAACCAACTCAGAATTCTATCTATTCTTTTGTACAACTTTCTCATACTTAAACTCAGTTATCACATATTTCTGAACTCTGAACATTTTAAACAAGAAAGTTCTTTTAACACATATTTATAATCTCACA